ATCTATAGGTTTCAATGCAATCTCTATAAAATCCCATTGGACTTTTTTTCAGAAATGGAAAAGTTGATCCTAAAATTCATATGGAATTGTTAAGGACTCAAATAATTAAAACAATATTGACAAAGAACAAAGTTGAAAGATTCACACTTTTGATTTCTAACTTATTAATCAACCAAAAGAATGGAGCGTTGGCATAAGAATCAACATACAGGTGCAAAGAATAGAACTGAGTCCAGAAATAAACTCACATACCTACAGTCAATTGATTTTCAACAAGGGTGATATTCAATGGAGGAAATAGTCTCTTCCACGAATGGTGCCAGGACAACTGGTTATCCACGTACAAGAGAATGAAGTCTGATCCTTACCTTCTATCATACATAAAAACTAATTCAAATGAGATTAAAGATCCTAATTTAAGGAATAAAACTATAAAATTCTTGTAAGACATAGGGTAGATCTAATTAGCTTAGATTTGACAATAGTTTCTTAAATACGACACCAAAAGTATAAGCACATACACATACACACAGATTAGCTGAACTTCATTAAGATAGAAAACTTTTGTGCAAAGGACAGCATCAAGGGACAGACAATCCACAGAATCAGAGATGTCATCAACAAATCATTACATCTGATAAAGGTGACGTATCCCACATAAAGACAGAATTCTTGTAACTCAATAAAAAGACCAAAAAAACCTCCACTATTTAAAAAAATGGCCAATGGATGTGAACAGACATTTCTCTAAAGAAAATGTACAAATGGCCAATAAGTACATGGAAAGATGGTCAATATCAGTCATTAAGGAAATGAAATTCAAAACCACAATGAAGGGGCAAGCATTCACTGGGTTAGTCCACCACCTGGGATGCCAGTTTTGAGGCTGGGCTGCTCCACTTCAGATCCAGCTCTCTAATAATGCGTTAGGAAAAGCAGTGGATGATGGCTCAAGTGCTTGGGCCCCTGCACCCAAGTGGGAGACCTGGATGAAACTCCTGGCTCCTTTCAGCCTGGCCCAGCTCCGGCTTTTGCAGCATTTGGGGGGGAGTGAAACCATGGATAGAAGAACTTTCTTTCTGTCTCTCTCTCTTGCTGTAACTCTGCCTTTCAAATAAAATAAACCTTACAAAAAATCACAATGAACTATCATTTCTCATCTACTAGGATGTCTATAATAAAAAAAAACTAGAAAATATGAAGTGTTGATGAGAGTGTGGGAAAACCAGAATTTTTGTATACGAAAACTTTTTGTGAATTTTGAAATCTATGTGTATGAAGGACTTTCAAAAAGTTTGTGGAACATGCATATTACAACACTGCAAATCTGATTTTCCATAATTTTTGTGTTAAAATAAACTTAAATTTTAATTTAATTTCCATGAACTTTTTAGAAGGATCCTTGTATTAATAGTGGAAATGTAAAATAGTGCAGCTGCTATGAAAAAGTCTGGTTATTCCTTGTTAAGTACAGAATTACTCTTCCTGAGCATTCTCAAAAGGTTTAAAAACAGGGGCCCGAACAGATATTTATACACAAATCTTTACAGCATTATTCAAAAAGGCCAAAAGATGGGAATAACCCAAATGTCCAACAAGTAATTAACAGGTAAGCAAAATTTGGTATATATGCACATAAAAAGGAATGAAGTACTCATATGTACTACAACATGGATGAACTCTGACAACATCATGATAAATGTTAAGAAACCAGACACAAAAAAGTCACAATGAGTCCACGGATAAGAAATGTACATTATGGGGAAATCCATACAGACAGAAAGCAGATTAGTGGTTTCCAGAGGCTAAGTGCAGAAGGAATGACGACAGACTGCTTAATGAATAATTGCTTTCCTTTTGGGTTGATGAAAATGTTCTGTAACTACATAATGATGATGGTTGTACACTACTGTAAATGTACTGAGTTATAATACCATAAAATGGTAAGTTTTTAAAAAATTAATAGCTAAGAATGGTAAATTTTGTATTTTATCATAATAAATTTTTTAATCAAAGATTTTTAAAGATTTTATTAAAAGAATTAGAGAATGAGAAAGATCTCGTTTATGTAGCTTGCAGAACTATTAAGCTCTTTAAAAAGATTTGAAAGTTAGAGTTACAGAAAGAGGAGAGGTAGAGAGAGAGAGAGAGAGAGAGAGAGAGAGAGACAGAGAGACAGAGAGAAAGGTCTTCCATCCACTGGTTCACTCCCCAACAGGCCACAATTGCCAGAGCTGTGCTGATCCGAAGCCAGGAGCCAGGAGCTTCTCCCAGGTTTCCCATGTGGGTGCAGGGGCCCAAGGACTTGGGCCATCTTCCACTGCTTTCCCAAGCCATAGCAGAGAGCTAGATCAGAAGTGGAACAGCCGGGACTTGAACCGGCACCCATATGGGATGCCGCCGGCACTGCAGGCAGTGGCTTTACCTACCATGCCACAGCACCAGCCCCACTAAGTTCTAATGTGCCAATGTAGTACATTCTTATATTCTACATCAAATATAAGACTCTAGAAAACAGTTTTTGGAGAGCCAGCATTGTGAACAGCAGGTTAAGCTGCCACTATCTAAATTGCTGGCTTGAGTCCCAGCTGCTCCGCTTCTGATCCAGCTCCTTAATTTGCCTCAGAAAGCGGTGGAAGATGGCCAAGTGCTTGGGCTCCTGCCACCCCTGTGGGAGACCAGGATGGAGTTTCTGGCTGCTGGTTTCAGCCTGGCCTACACCTCACTGTTGTAGCCAAGCAGCAGATGGAAGATCTCTATTTCCCCCTCTAAGTCACTTTGCCTTTCGAATACAATTTCTTTTAAAAGACAAGTTTTTTTCTAAACTAGACATAATTCCTAAGGATTGTTAAATATAAGCATGTTTATTGTGTCCGTTCAAAAGAATACTCTTTTTTCTAAAAGCAAAGGAAAAAGGGAAAATAACTGAACAATGTGTTAGATTTGAACCACGTCGTGTTTCCAGGTGAACAAATCTATTCACTATTCAAATGTAAAGCAGGTGAATTTTTTGGTAGGGAACTGTAAAGTATTCATCAATGACACATTAGTAGGGATACCATTTTATGAAGCATAATTATGCAACTTACCATTAGCACTGATGTTTTCCTCTTTAATAAACAATTTGTTTTGTCAATTTATGTAAATTAAAGACAACAGAATAATACTCTTGCAATTCAAAGCATTAAACAGTGGTTGTTAAACCAAAGGAAAAAAGCAAATTTAAAAAGAATTACAGATACTAAAGTCAACAACTTCTCAAACCTTTAGACACAGATGCCAAAATAAACTGATTTCTGGAACTATATACTGATGTACAAGGTTAAGAATTTCCAAGTATGTTTAGACATCATGTTAAGGCCATTCAGGTGATACAAGAATTGGGTTAAAAAAACTTTGAGGAGTATTATGCTGTGAAGAGTATCTGGACCAGAACACAAACTATTAACAGAAAAAGCAGATTAAGTGCTTTAACTAAAGAAAGAGTAGCTACACTTTATTCCCCCCTCAACTCAAATATAAAAAAGTTTCATGCCTACTTTATGAAACTATTTGACTTTCAGGATTTAAATAAAAAATGCTTAAGAGCCAATGTTATGGCACACTGGATTAAGTTACTGCTTGCAATGCCAGCATCCTATACCAGAGTGCCAGTTAGAGTGCCAGCTGTTCCATTTCTGATCCAGCTTCCTGTTAATGCACCTGGGAAAGCAGCAGAAGATGGCCCAAGCATTTGGGCTCCTGCCACCCATGTGGGAACCCAAAATGGATTTCCTAGTTGTTGGCTTTGGCCTGGCCCAGACCTGGCTGTTTGAATTATTTGGTGGAATGAAGCAGCAGATGGAAGATCTCACTGTCTCTCCCTCTCTATTGTCCTTTCAAATAAATAATCTTTTTTAAAAAGAGAAAAAAAAAATTGTATCTGTATTTTTTCTAAAATGACATTTAAGAATAAATGAGAATTTCTGGAACTTTACTTACCCTTTTTACCAAACCTTCCCCCATACTTCTTCTACGGCATCATTATCATGAAAGCATCACAAAAATAAAAATCAAATTTAAAAAACAACAAAATTAGACAAATGTGAATATGTCAAAGGAAATCATTTGGAAGATTTTAAGTTTTGATCATTTTCTTACAATTCTTGAATTTTAAAGATCTTCTCCACAAACTTTTTTTAAATAAAAGTTTTATTGGAGAAAAATAGAACCACCACGTACACAGGGAAAAGAGCACAAAAATTCAACTCATACAAAACTGAAAGTCACAATTATCCAATGTAGTTTGCAACTGCTTTTCAGTTTCTTAAACAGCTCCCCTCAACTTGTTTAATAGTCTTGCTAATTTTTCAGCTAAAACAGCATCAAGTTTTCAAAAAATTAAGAACATCAGGGAAGGGACCTGCTTTCAAGGTAACAAAGGTGACATCAACAATCTCCTCCTAACAGGACCAACTCTACCTAAAAATTGCATAAGAGTACCTATTGAGTCTGGTTATTAGTCTACATATTTGAGAGACCACCTGGGATGAGTCAGAACACTGATGTAGATGGTCCAGTATGAAGAGAGGGCAAACAAATTGGCCACACTTCCTTGTCAGATGCACTATTGTAAGAAGATCAGGGAGGGGTAGAGAAAATACAGGCGATGGCTGTTCAGAAAGAATTAGGAAGGAATTCTAAACACTATAGTTAGACAACAGTGTGCAATTTGATGCAGTCAAAGAGAAAACAGGCAACTTTTTAAATATATAGCTGGCCACAGGTCTTTGAGAATTCAAGAAAACAATTAATAGTAGACATAAGATCCAAAGGTCTCCTCAGTTGAAGTTTAGGACCTAGGCATTCTTCCTAACGGCTCTGAATAGGCAAGGAAATATGCTGTTGCAATAAGTATTAAAGTAGTTCTGATTTTTAAAAAAAGAATAAGATTTTTTGCTTCTCCATATCTATTACTGTCAAAGCTTCAATGAAAAATAAAGAAGCAAAACAAAAATAAATGGATGTTAAAGAGAAGCCTTTTACTCACATTATGATTTTGAAAAACAATACTTTTGTCATTTTTCCTTGTATAAACAATCTTGGGACATTCCCCTGAAAAGCAGGGGTCCAGTGGCTATGAGAACTCTTAACTTCAAGCAATGTTCAAAGGGGAACTACAGAATTTAAAATTCCCAATAGGGAGTATGTGAGGAAAATGAGGGAGGACTTTTATACCTAGGGTTTTAGGAAGTTAGAATATGGATGATAGTAAAGGCTCATTTATCAACAAAAAGTTGGGATGTTTCCAAAAAAAAAAAAAAAAAAACCGCTGGTACAGAAAGCAGGAATGGTAAATCCTAGGAAGCCTGTAATAATTGATAATTGGTCCAAGTTAAAAACAAAACTGTCTAAACAACATTTAAAATCTATAAGTATGTTGAAAACCAGTTGATGCATTTTTTGCTCCTGTAAAAATTTATGAAATGTTGATTTTGGTCACTTTTGTAATTTTCATATTGTACTCATTTTTAACATGAAGAAAGTATTGGAGTTTTCTCTCCAATGATGTTCTTCTAGTACAACAGATCAGCAGTGTTCTATTTTGGCTATTTTTAGAAGTACCTCTTAATCAGCACAGTAAACCTGGGGCTAAGCCACATACATACATCCCATACTCATAAATGGAAAATTTTAGGATGTGAATATATGATACTATATAAGCAACTGTTCCCCTACCTGAAAACTTGTTTCCAAGTAAGTTCTTTTTCAAATATTCCTTTCAGTGTAACAGAACATTACCTAGTAAAATATCAATAGTTATGACAACTTATTTTTCTTTTCAAGGAAAATCACAAAACAGGTGAATAACCAAGTCCAGGGTGGTTTTTCTATTTGATAAATACATCCAGACCTCTGTACAGTAAATAAATTTTGCATGCAGCTTAAGTATCTTTAAATGACATTTTAAGCAAATAAACCTTCTGCCTCATCATTAATGGTGTATAAGAACCCCCCTCCCTTTTTTTTTAATAGTCATAGGGACCTCTTCCCTTGTTCCAAAGAGGATTCATGAAGACCAGGTACTTTCTTAAGAGTTTTCTGCACATCATACTAAATAACATGCAAAGAGTTCAACAGCATTCTTCTTAAAGTAAGTATTACTCTTAAAAATGGGCATGTTAACCACTGAAAAAAATGTTCACTCAACTATTTCCATTACACCGCTTCGTTTGGTCATTGGTAATAAAAAACAGAGTCAGATAATATAGGATCAACAGGTTAGTTTATCACTGGCTACTGCATAGGACCCCAAGTGTGCCAAGGTCAACATCTATGCAATATAGTTGTACTGGTTTGGATTTTCTTTATCTCTTTCCATGTAGTCCCGGTCAATTAAGGATTCTATTCTCTTCTTAAGATCAGCAGGCTGTTAAGAGAAGGCAAATTTTCAATGCAAAGTTTATGATCATTGGCTCAAACTCACTTACTAACATGCCCCATCAAAAAAAGAAAATTTTGGTTTATTGACTTAATATATGTAATCTTACCTGCTCATATTATTTAAATCTCTATTTTAGAGAAAAATATAATAAAAATCAGGTTAAGAAGTATTTTATACATATACTACAATGCTACACTTTTGCAACATTTTCTATTTTATTTTAAAGAAATCTTCCCAGAACCAGCTACTCCCTGCACAGTTAAATACAAAAGACTAAACATAACAGAATTTCACATGAGGAATACATTATAGCTTGAGAAATCAGAAATTTAGTTTTGCTGAGATAGTTTGAGAGGACAATCCACTTTTACTTTGGGCAAAAGCTAATTCTGCAAGTTAAGTTTAATTTTTATAAATTAACTTAAAATATGGGGGCCAGTGTTATGGTATGAGTTAAGCCACCATCAGCATCATATATGAGCACCAGTTTGAGGCAGCTGCAGCCATTTGGGGAGCGAATCAATGGATGGAAGATCTCTGAATCTCTCTGTAACTCTTTCAAATAAATAAAAATAAATCTTGAAAGTTTGCCTTCATGACTGTATTCTTAGCTCTCAGATGACAAAATTCAACTATATGCTTGAGTGTATGTCTAGACTATAAAAAGTACAGGCATCCTTTGGTATCTGCAGTCATTGCTTCTAGGATCCTCCCTTGCCCTCATGCCAAAATCCAAGGATGCTCAAGCCCCTTATACAAAATGGTGTAATATATGCATATAACCCATGTACATCCTTCCATATACTTTAGAATCAACTCTAAATTACTTATTATATCTATTACAGTATAAATCCTAAGTAAATAACTGCTATTTTGCATTTTTTAGGGAATAATGACAAGAAATAAAGTCTGTACGTGTTCAGTACAGCCCCACTGCTTTCAAATATTTTTTTATTTATAATTGGTTGAATATGCACATGTGAAATCCACAGATATGGAGGGGTCAACTGTATCATCTTGCCTACTAAATTTTTCATAATATGTAAAATGAAAGGGAAAGGAATCTGATAGGGCAGTCAAAACTTTAGTCATAATTTTTATCCAGTAATCTTAAAGTTCAATAAAATGATTTTCTCTTCATTATAATAAAAGACCTAGAATACCAGAACAGTCTTTTTAGGAAAGCAATCCCTTAACTTCCCTAGCATCAGTGATCTCTATGGCTAGAGGTGCAGTAATTGTTAGGCAGAGCATGAGGGTGACAGAGCTGTAATGAGGTGACAGTATCAGGCTTGGAAGAGAGAAAAAAAACCTCTTAATTAAAATAGCTACTGAGGGCTGATTATATGCTAGGTCCAGTTCTGAATTTTTCATATTCAGGATCTCATGAAAACCTCATAATTATATAAAGTAAGTACTACTATTAGCAACATTTTACAAAAGAGGAAACAAGCTCAGGTGAAGTGATATATCAAAGTCCAAAGTTTATAGAAATCCTAATAGCCAGGAGTCTATTAAAACTCTTATCAAGAGTTTATCAACACAAGGGTTTGGAAATATTCTGGAACTTACACAATATTCCAATACAATATCACCCTATATGTCTTCATTACTGGGCAGTTACCTTGGAATATGTCCATTAACCAACCAATTTCAGTTGACCAGAACTATCATTAAAATTTTCAAAACGATACCAGTCTGTACACAGTTCAGACACTTAATGTAACCTAACCAACAGATTTGACTCTATCTAAAATAATGACATCTGGCAAATATCAAGGTATTTCAAGGAGAAAAGAAATAAGAAAGAAGTTCAAATGAAAATAGTGAATGAAAAAAGTTTAAACAACTCATTTAGCAGTTAAACTTACAAGTTTGAGAGTTTTACTAAATTGTTGTCCCCTTTTTTCACAGTTGCCCCTATGCCAACAATTTTTTTCCTGAATCATATGCATCAGCATGGGAAATACTTTTGTTTCACCAAATGCTCTTGAGGCTTTCATCTATGCTTACAGGATTTGTGCCTGAAAATTTAATGTATCTTTTTATAAGAAGCTCAATATGAAAACACAGAATACCTACCTTTACTGGGAATTTCAATTGGTTGTACACTTCTGAAACAAGCAAATTGTGACTAAGTGTCTTTCTCATCTTCATAATTCGAACAATTGCAGCATCAATTTGATATTGTCTGTCTTGAAATACTCTTTCTGTAGTACTTGCTTGTTCCTCAACCTAACAAGAGGGTTTTAAATTTAAGAATTATACCTGAAGTGAAACATGATTACTTATACAAATTTGTACATTTTAGTGACATACCACTCACTGCTTTAAATATACTGAATTATCTAAATGGGACCTTACAGATGATGACAGAAAAAACCCTGCAAACATAGCTCCTTTCTAATTATATTGCCCTGTATCAATGAAGTAATGCCAACATTACTTAGCAGAAAATACTATCTTTGAACTACTTTTCTGGAAGTAAGGATGTTTGAGACAGAATTTACCATTTTCTTTGACTCTCTTCTAAATATGTCAGTTACAAGGGGTTGTTGACCAGATTTCTGTATAACAGTATCTCATCTATAAACTGACTGACTTCTGTCTCAAATCATGGTATTAAGTAGCTAAGTAAACTGGTTGGCATCAAGTTCTTTGACAATTAACTTTTATTTTGTAATATATAAACCAGAAATGCATGCCATTAATGCTTACATTCCTTTAAGACTAACAGAGATTTAAGTGTTTAGCAGTTTATCACACTTGATGCAAAATTAAAAATGACAACCTTCAGTAACTGAACCAAAAGTTTAGATTTTGTTGCAGCAGTTTCTTTCTAGTACAGCTTAATTTTTTTCATTTAAATTCAATCTAGGTCTCCCACATGGGTGGCAGGGACCTAACTCCCTGAGCCATCACCTGCTGCCTTCCACAGTGTGCATTAATAGGACACTGGAATCAGGAGCCAGGACCCAAACCCAGACACTCCCATATGGACTGTAGGTGTTCCAAGAAATGTTAACCACTGCACCAAATGCCAACTCCATAGCATAAATGTCTTAAAAAGTAAGGTTATGATAATCCTTTAAGGGAGTATCATTCCTCTGATGCCTATGTAAATGTAACAGGAACTTTTTTGAAGATACTTATCCTTGTCCCACATTAAAATTGTTTCTCAAATATTGCATTACACATTGTTGGAACTGAATAACTGGTTTCAGAATGCTACACTTGGTTTCCTTAATAAAAATCTCTTGCAAATTCAAATGCCAAAATAAAATATTCACCTCCACTGTCAATAAAACAAATACTAACTAAATCATTCAGATTTCTCACCAAGCAAATTGACAAATCTAAAGAAGAAAATTTAATCTTTAGTGTTGGGGAGGGCATAACAAGATAGACACTCATATGTTGCTGGTCCAAGTATAAATTGGTTTGGCCTTTCTGGAACACAATATGACCTTATGCACTAAGACTCTTAAAATATTCACACCCTTTGATCCAAAGAAATCGACTTCCATGGATTTATCATAAGGAAAGGATCAGAGAGATTAAGATTTAGGTACAAAGATGTTTCTTACAGCATTATTCATTCGTAATGCTAAAAAGTGATAAATTTAACTGCCAAATAATGAACAGTGGCCAGCCATGTCAAAGAGTATTTATTATAAAGCCAGTTGTGATTTCTTAAGGAATTTAATGGCACAGAAAAATTCTTAACAGGATATAAAACTGCTGAAAGCCTGAACCAATCATGTGCAGCCTCCAACAACAAAAAACCCAAAATTAAATACCGAAACATATTCAGCTAGATACAGGTACAGAAAATGTTAATGGTACTGCTAGTATTACTGGTATAAAATACTTTTTAGAGGTGGGCATTTATGCAGTAGTTTAAGTCAGTCACTACTTGGAACACCTGCACCCCATATAGGAGTGTCTGATTTGAGTATCGATTCATCCACTTTTGGATCCAGCCTCCTGCTATGTACCCTGAGAGGCAGCAGATGATGGCTCAAGTACTTGGGTACCTGCCAACCATATGGGAGATCCAGATTGGGTCCAGGCACTTGGCTTTGGCTTGGGATTGCCCTGGCTGTTGCAGGCATTTTAAGAGTGAACCAGCATTCCTCTGTCTCTCTACCTTTCAAATAAAATGAAAAAAAAAAAAATTAAGTACAAGAAAAATTACATTTTAAAAAGAAAATATTCTTTATACATTTCCATCATGAACATGTGTAATTCCAATGAGTTAAGACTAAAAGAAAGTGAAAAATACCGTCTCTTTCATCTGGATTTGATTGATCTTTATCCTGAAAAGTTTGTGTTTGAAATCATCATTACAAATGAACTTGTCACCATCTTCTATATCTTTGCCCTTTGGATTTTTCGCCAGAACTCTAGCTTTTCCACAGGCTAATGACTGCAATGTTCTCCTTAACTCTCCATCCTCTGAAGAAGAAACAGCAGCTTAGTTATTTGTTACTACCTCATCAGCACGAACAGCTACATTCAACCTCAATCTAGCTTCTATTCCCATCCCTCTATTAAAACTTCCACCCACCACTTTACACCATGCTCATCTCCAATGACTTCCTCTATGTCCTATCTGATGGCTTATTTTCTTAGTCTTCTTTTAAGGGTATTAATAATGATTCCATGTGGGTAACTACCAAGTCTGAAATGACATTTCACTTCTCTCCAGTCCCACATTTAATGGGCACATCCACCCAGCTGTACTAGCATCAACTGCAGTATGTCCAAATTTTCATTTATCATCTTCTCTATAAAATGGCACCCTCTTTCTAACTATTAATGATGATACTATGCATCTACTCTGGTGAGAAACCTTAGAAACATTTTTTAACTCTTCCTTCCTCTTTATGCTCCACGTATCTAGTGGTGGTTTTCTTAACAATGCCTCTTCTCCATTCTTTTGGCTTCACTCTATTCTAAGCCCCTTATCACTTTATGCCTGAATTACTCCAAAAGCTTCTAGATTGGAATCTGCTCATTCTCTAAGATATTCTGTATACTAATTCCAGCCAAGTTGTTTAAGTAAGTTATTTCCATTATGTCACATATCTGAGAGCTTACAATGTATATTTTATTTGCCAGATTTATCAAGCTCTCCATAATCAGGCCCTATCCAGCTTAATTATTTAATTCTGTACCTCATTTTTCTGTGCTACAACTAAGCTCTTCTGCCCAAGCTGTGCCCATTCCTACCTCAAAGCCTTTTCTACAAATATTTTCCTTGCTGCATATGCCTTCTCCCTGACCAAAACCTGAAGATTGGGCTCAATTCCCATTTCCGTCATGAGGGTTTTCTCAATCATGTTTCACTAAACTTCTAACATACTTCTAGTCAGCAACAGACCAATACTTACTTGGTTTTGAGATTATTTCAAGTGCCATTTCCCCTTTCCTCATGGTTATATTAAGAATACTGAGGAGTAGGATTATTCCTTTGTTATCCCCCAGAGCTCTTAACATAGTGGTATACACATAGCAGATACTTAATAATGCTTGCTAATCAACTGATTCAACACAAACCGATTCCAGTAGCCTGTTTGATCTCTTCTAAACTGAACTCCTCTCCCTCATTAAACATTAGCAGCACCAGTGTTTGAAAAAGAGAGACCTGGAGTTCTTTTTTGCCCTGTTGAAGAAATAGCAGTGTTTAGCCATTTTTTAAAAAAATAACACATGAAAAATTCATCAAATAAGTAATCTCTTATAGAAAAAGCATTTTTCAATAAGTGGATTTAGAAACATGGATTAACATTACCCAGAAAAGCCACTTGAGGTGGTAATACAGTATATTCAATGTACGGTTTAGGTATGATCCTACCTAAAATAGTGGGAAGGATTAGTTGACCTTTTAACAGGTCTTCTTAAAGCTTTTTAATTAAAACAGAACAAAGTAATTAAAATTAATAACTCAGCCCTATGTGTCATTACAGATTTTCATCACGAGTGGCAACAAATCAATATTTCAAATGCATTTTCAACTTGTTGGATTCAGATTAGTCATGAAAAGCTAAAGGGGTTTTTTGAAAATTAGATATGGGCACTGTTCCCCATAACTCCCACTCTGTTCTGCAGCTCCCAGCAACAAGATTTCTGTGAAGAAGTGGCAGCATGGATTGTGCATCCACAGGTGGGGAAAGGACGAGTGGGAGAGGCATAGTTTTTGTTTTTTGTGGAAGGGCCAAATCACTTGTGGAAAAGATCACATCCTTAAAAATATACACAAATCTGTGCAAACTATCATTGTCTTCATTTAGCTGTCTAGAATACATTTATTAGACAGCAGCTTAAACCATCCAGTTAAGAGCGATGACTTTAATATTAAAGACGAAGAAGAGGAAAACTAAGTTCTGGGAACACCCACTTACCTCTTTAAACTCTGCTTTTAGCACACAGTGTCCTAGGGTTGACTGCCACTGAAGTTTCCTGCCACTGTGTTTACCTAGGTAAAATGTCTTAAAAATCTCCTGAAGCTTTACCATCTAAAATAAATAAAATAAGGCTTTATTTAAACTCCACATCCAGTACCACATTCACCACTCTTTATACCTACCTCATGTGTAATAACTTCTGGAAATCTCAAAGACTATACTCTTACTACGTAATATTACTATTACCACTTATTTCATATGGATCAACATCTCTCTATACCATTTAATCATCCCTTCTTTAGAAACACTACACCATGCACTATACTGGTTCCTTTACCTCACTGCTGCTGCTTGGTTTTCTTCACAGGTTCCTCTTCCTACCACCAGCTGAATGTGAGCCTTTTCCAAAGTTCTGCCTCTGCCACGTTTTCCACATTCTCCCCCATACTGAGAGAAATCTACTTCCTGGACTTCCATGATCATCTCCAAAGAGAATTTTCATTATCTTTTTCTCTAGCATTTACCTCTTTTCTAGGCTTAAGTCCTGAGCAAGATATTTTCCCAGGAGTTTGGATGCAATCAGTAAGCACTCATCATTTAACAATCCTGCCAACAGATGAAATATGGGCAAAAATATTTGCTAGCTAGGCGGAATGAGGGATATAATCTGCAGAGATGTAAGAGTTGGGGAAACTGGCTCTGAACACAGAAACTTGGCATCATTAGCTGTGTGCTAAACTGGACCTGGGAATATAAATATAAGAGTAAAATATTACATGAAACACATGAAACTTGTATAACAAATAAAATTTTAAAGAGTAAAATACTAAAACAGCTGAAATTTGGTATTACTACCTTCACTGAAATTAGCTTGATACAAGGATTTGAATTATGATTTCTATGCCTGTAACTGAGGTCCTAAATAGTAACTCTTACCTCTGGTGGTAAATGGACTTCCATAGGTACATACGTTGGCCAATAACCCATTGTCAGGATATTCACAGTTAATTCAATATTTCCAGGTACATTCTGGTTCTGCATATACTATAAGAAGATCAACACGTACACTGAGATCTTAAATGTATGTACATTTCATGTCCTACTACCGATCCATTTATGAGAAGTTCCCCACTATAAAATTATAAGGATACTGACCATCTTTAAAATAAAAGTCAATTATTAAGAGGACTTTAGATAAACCCTTCAAGCCTTCACAAAATGTACTACATAAAGACATCGGGCACCATTTTGATGCAATGGCATACAAGGATCACGTGACTTCATGATAAGCATTATCAGCTTAAATACTTTCTCACATACAGCTGGGTTATTATAGTATCTCTTCTCCATTATTTTCCCCAGTACCACCTGCATTCCCCACTTTTGCAGGGAACTTGGAGCACCAGAACCAAACCCTACTCTTCCTCACCCCACCAGCCAGCCCAAGTCTCCAGTTTTTCATTTGCTCCAGTGCCTGCTTTGCAAGGGGTAACCTAAAATGGGGGGAGGAAGAACAGGGAGAAAGGGCAAAGCAAATAAATACTGTCTGTATCTACTACTGCATGATCCATGATCCTACTGACCATGATCTTTCTCTTTGAGTCTTTCATTGGTAAAGAAGTTACTACTAAAACCCCATAAGAGGGAAATCTAATTTGCTATCAACTATCACCTATGTTCTTAAAATATTTCAAACTACTTTGTACCTGCATCTTCAGAACTGTAGATTTAGCTTTTCATTCCCAATTTCCCCCAAAGCCTCTGTACAATCACTTCATCACCTATCTGTCTTCTCCACTGTGAGCTCTGAACACGCAAAACCAAAAGGTATTTACATTTTATTTCTACTTTTGTTATTTTTGCATGTTTATTAAGAATAAACCCTTGGGGGGCCAGCACTGTAGTGTAGTAGGTTAAGCCTCCACCTGTGGTGCCAGCATCCCACATGGGCACCAGTTCAAGTCAAGCTGTTCCACTTCTGATCCAGCTCCCTGCTAATGGCCTGGGAAAGCAATGGAACATGGCCTAAGTGCTTGCTCTGGGGAGTGAATCAACAGATGGGAGATCACTCTCTTTCTCCCTAATTCTTTCAAATAAATAAATAATTTTAAAGAGTTATTTTATTTATTTGAAAGACAGAGTTACAGAGAGAGGTAGAGACAGAGAGAGAGGTTTTCCATCCGCTGGTTCACTCCCCAGATGGCCGCAATGGCTGGAGCTGTGGCAATCTGAAGCCAGGAGCCAGGAGTTTCCTCTGGGTCTCCCATGCGTACGCAGGGACCCAAGGACTTGGGCCATCTTCTACTGCTTTCCCAGGCCATAGAAGAGAGCTGGATGGGAAGAGGAGCAGCCCATATGGGATGCTGGCACTTCACGCCAGGGCTTTAACCTGCTGTGCCACAGTGCTGGCCCCAAATAAATTTTTAAAAAAGAATAAACTCTAAACTAGGTCAAATATATTTCACTGGTCATTTTTTTAACTGTTGCATCTAAGTTGTTATGACATATTTACAACAAATATGTTCTATTTTTCCCTTCAATATAAATCACCTCAAGGACACAACTAAATATATTTAAGTTCAAAGAATTAAGTAAGAGTTTAACTCACTTTTACCTGTTTGAACTGAATCATGATGTCTTTAGAAAGCTCCATGTCTTTAAACATCCCTTCAAGCTTGCTGGTGAAAGCAGCTCCACATTCTATAAGATATTTGTATATTTATAATATTTTAAAGGGGTAACAACAAAGAACTTAAAACAGGAAGCATGAAATGTAAAATTTACTTTAGCGTGAAATATGATCCATAACTGTTCATAAGAATAAAAAGAAATCCTTAACCCAAAGTGTATGCACCCTAATTCAGAGTCAAACCCTTTAATCCTTATCTTATCTAAATTTAGGTATAAGATAAATAGGAAATTTTTATACAAATAATGAAAATAAGAAGAATGCTTTATTTTAAATAACCAAACAGCTCTAGATACGTGTAATAGGTTAGAAACCTCATGGGCTTGCACAATTTATGTTTTCATCACATATACATAGAGTGACTGACAAAAGAGGTAATCAACTGAAAGAATAAAAATTAAACTAACATTTTCCCTCAGAAATCAAAAGAAACAAAGAATGGCAAACATACCATGTTTGAGTTTGGACAACATTGATTTTTCAGCATCTACAGATGCACTCTTCCCAACTAACAGACGCTTGGCTAAATCTTTCTTATAGAAGGCCTCAAAAACATCCTTGCCTGTGTTAAAAACAAATACAAGAATCTTAATATTGCAACAAAAAGTTCTGACAAAACTGCTTTAAAGTTCTTAATTTCATCATTATTCCAAATTATTTTACTATATACAGTTTATTCACGTTTGTTAAATGCAAGAAACATTAAAGACCCATTTTTGTCCCAGACATTTAAGAATTAAGACTGTATTAACTTTTCTTCAGAAATGCTATTAGTTTACTAGTAGCTTTAGTGCCAATATTTGAGAGATTAAAAAACATAGCAAAAATACAGGCTCTTAAGAATGGAAAAGTCAAAGCACAAGGCAATTAAGAAACATTCCTGAAATATCCCCTAAGAATTAAATGCAAGAAATAAAATACAATTTTAAATTTCTAATTATCAAATAAATATTCCCTCCAAAATAATTACACTTGCAAGTTTCTGTTCAGTGCTTTAAAAGAAAAAAATTAAAATAGTATTAAAAACTTACCATAGATAAATCTAAATATGATCATAATTTTATCCAACATTTTCTCAAGTTCTTCATCTGTAGCTTCTTTGTTGCCTGCACGAAGCTTTGAATCTACATACTTGGCTGAAATGTGGGAAAAGTTTGTTATTTAATGATCATGGGTATCCAAAAGGTACTAGGCACTATTACATACCTAAACAGGAGTACAATATACTTAGTTTTTCAATGCTTCAGAGTTACAAGTGGGTACCCCAAAAAGTTCACGTGAAAACAAAATTAAAACAAATTTTTTTGGGTGCAAAGAATCTTTGAAATGCAGTTTTATAATACACACTTTCCATGAATGTTTTGAAGTAATTGTGTACACCAGCAGAAACGCATTTTTTAAAAGTATCCAAAGTTGGGGAGACCAAGTGACTTGCTCAATGTCACAGAGCTAATACACACCAGATTGTGAACTCAAACCCAATTCTTCTGAATCCAAATACGAGGTACTGCCCCACTATACCATGAGTGTATCCATGTTTATTAAAATGGGGTACAGATAATCTGTGGGAGAGGCTGCATGTAGCCCTGTGTGGGGGTAATCAAAGACAACTGAAAAACATGGGACATCTGGAGTGTCATTTTGACACTGAACATAAGCAAGTCTAAACAATACTTTCCTATTAAAATAAACCATACATTAAAGAGCAGAAGGCAAACTTCCTAAAACTTCTAAAGATAAACTGTGGACAGAGAACCCTAGATCTTCTCAAGGTACTCCTTCTCAGACATTATGCTGTATTTCAGTGGAAAAACTCAAGAAACACTGCAGTATATACCACAACCTTAACCAAAAGGGCACAGATTATTAGGTTTATTTTCATTCTGGACTTTCTCCTCTACCTACTGGCAACTGTAATTTCACACTGCCATTTTTTGGAGCCCTAACGGTGAGCTTCTAGAAATAGGAACCTGCTCGATTTTTAAATCACTGTAGGCTTGGAAAATAATTAATCTTATTATTAATAATAGGTTCAACATACTGCCATAAAGAAAGCACATCATGTTTGACATGTAAGCTTTGAGACATTCTTTGGCTTAAAGGACATAAGTCCTTGTATCCATGCTCTGAGAAACACTTTTCAGATTTGATATTTACAGCTAAGCAATCCCAAATAAATAAGGTGCTAATATACTACAACTCTATCAAAATTTCAGATGAAGTTTTTATGAATAAAAAAAAAACATTGGAAAAATACCTATAAGTTCAGCAGGTTTATTTGGTCTCTTGTTAATGAATGTTTCAAATGCTTCTTTCATGGCATTAATAAACTTTTCATTCTTCAGAAAGCAGATATCGATTATATGATCAACCTTATCTTTAAAATCTAGCAATTCTTGAACCATGGTTTTATCTTTTTCAGGATTAATTACAATAGTGCTGCCAAATGCCTAAAAACAAAAATTAACACTTTTTACTGGAATTACCTACAACGAAAACAATCTCCAAATTATATTCTAAATCAGCATGTGTATATACAGGTCAAAAACCTAAAAATGTTCTTTTTGAAAATGAGGAAAAGAAAACATTAAAGTGATAAAATATCCAGACCAACACCATTAATCTATAAACAAAAAAAAAAAAATAATAAAGAATGACCACTCAGTCTATAATATTATAACATGATATTATTAGAAGCCTCTGGGATCTCTTCCATATTTTTAAAGAGGTCAACTGAATTTTTTAAAAATAATGTGTGTGTGGGGTGGCACTGTGGTGCAGCAGGTTAAAGCTCTGGTCTGCAGTGCTGCCATCCCATATGGGTGCTGGTTCATGTCCCGGCTGCTCCACTTCTGATCCAGCTCTCTGCTATGGCCTGGGAAAGCAGTGGAAGATGGTTCAAGTCCTTGGGCCCCTGCACCTGCATGGGAGACCAGGAAGAAGCTCCTAGCTTCTGGCTTTGGATTGGCACAGCTCTGACCATTACAGCCATCTGGAGAGTGAACCAGTGGATGGCAGACTTTCTCTGTCTGCTTCTCTGTAACTCTGCCTTTCAAATAAATAAATAAATCTTTAAAGAAAATTATGTGGGGCCAGTGTTGTGGCATAGCAGGTAACTTAAGACACCACCTTCCCATGTAGGTGCTGGTTCGAATCCCGGCTGCTCTCTTCCCATACAGCTCCCTGATAATGCACCTGGGGAAGCAGCAACAGATGGCCCAAATGCTTTGACCCCTGCACCCACATGGGAAACTGGGAAGGCGCTCTGGGCTCCTGGCTTCAGTATGGCCCAGCCCTGGCCATTGTAGCCATTTAGGGAGTTAACCATCAGACTGAAGATCTCTCTCTCCTTCTCTCTTTCCCACCCTGTAGCTCTGCTTTTCAAATAAATAAAATAAATCTTTAACAAAATAAAAAAATAATGATCAGGCTTCAGTGTGAGATTAAAGGAGAGAAATTTGGGGGTTGAAACAAAGTCCTTTTTCCACAATCATTGCTTTAAGTGTTGGAGCTAGAAATCACATCACACTTCAATCAGGTTTTATTGCTGATTGGCCACACTATCGTTTTCAGGCTGACAGTTCTCAAAATTTCCATGACTTTTTAATTAAAAATCAAAATTCCCTTACTTAAAATAGTTGCAGGTAATACTTGCTAACACATGCCCTGGGTATATAGATTATAAGCCATTAGAAAGGAAAACCACAGGTAGATTGTTAATACCTTGATGTACTCAATCCATTGTTGCAAGAGAACCTGAACGCCACCTCGAACTCTACTGAAGAGCTGATACAGGAGAGACAAATCTTGAATTCGGTTTTCATCAAGGAGGTTATTTAAACCTGAATGTTTACACAGATTTTGGCATTAAAATATAGCAAACAAGGATGTGAACAAAATTGTCAGATATCTTATTGCCATTTAAGTTAAAATTACTGTGACAGAGGTCTTAACTATGACTAGTCTATATGTGAGTTGCAGAGATTTTCATTGAATTAAACCCAAATAGACAATCATCTTTCTATGTGAAATGTAAATATAGCTACATATAGTCACTATAAAAATAAAAATAGTTGATTTCATAATGGTTTGGGCCATTTAGCATGACAGATCAAATGTATAAACAAATTTATTTAAACTGCTTTCCATAAATTATAAATACCTCATATATGGTGTTACATATTACCTCTGACATTACTGTACATAATATATTTGAGTACTGAATATGGCCTTTGATATATCAAAAGATATATCATATATATCATATCATGCATAGAGTGTTTAAATGATGCTTCATATTTGATTTTTAGAATGCACTAATAGTGGGACTGCATTAGATTTCTAAATATACTCATTTTATACAAAAAGTAAGATCAAGAAAAAGGTACACTTTTTTCTATTTGTTAGACTGGCAAAATAAACTCAAAGTATACTCTAAGATCACTCAAGGTTAAAAGTGCTTAGTTTTATTGCCATGAACAAAAAAATTCAGTGCAAAAAGGAATGTCTTTACTGTAGTCTTACATATTAAATCGAGTTCTTAAATTCTCAGTGTTTTTTTTTTTCAAATCAATTATTTTTTTGAAGGGCAGAGAAACAGAGAGGAGAAAGAGAGACTCCTCTCCATCTCTCTCTCATATCTTCCTATCTGCGGGTTCCCCAAATGGCAGCAATGGCTGGATCTCCCACATGGGTGGCAGGAACCCAATTACTTGAGTCATCACCACTGCCTTCACTCCCAGGGTATGTATTAATAGGAAACTGGTATCAGAATCAATTCCAGGTACTCTGACATGGGAGGTGCACACTTGGCCAAAATCTTGCTCCCCATGTTGTTTCTTTTGTGTTAGTGGACACACTCTTCTCAGTCCCTGTAGTTTTCAAATACAGAAATTGACACTTCAGAAAGTTGACTGCAATGAACAGGGGGAAAGGGTTATGTCTATCCTCACAAATACTGATACCTGCCATTAAATGGGAAACAGGTGGGCATTGTGGTGCAGAGGGTTAAACCATGGCTTGGGAATCCTACATCCCACATAAGAATGTCTGGTTAGTCACGGCTACTCCACACTTCAGATCCAGCTTCCTGCTATTGTGCCTGGTAGGCAGCAGGTGATGGCCCAAGTACTTGGGCTCCTGTCACCCATGTAGGAGATCTGGATAGAGTTTCTGGCACCTGGCTACATCCTGGCCAGACCTGGCTGTTGTGGCTATTTGGGGAGTGAACCAGTGGATAGAAGATCTATCAATATGTGTGCACATGCACATTCTCTCTTCATCACTATCTTTCAAATAAATCTTTTTTTTAATTAGAAGGACATTTTTAAATTCCCTACTTGTTTGTCACTAGTATTTAAAAAGTAACCTCTTATTTACAAATTGTCAATTACCTTTCTGAAGAATTGCTGTTAAGTGTTCCCCTAGAAGTTGTTTTTCTACAGTAGCAATTAATGATTTCCTAAAAGGAAAAAAAAGTTTAGAATTATTGACATTTGACTTTCTTGAAAATGTAAGCTTTTCCTGGTGGCGGGGTGGGTCAAATAACTCATTTTATGTTAATTTCAACATTCCTATCCTAGGTATAAATTAATAAGCACTCAGAGTTACTCTACTGCATGCCTAGAAGGAAAACTGCATTATTTCAGAATTTCGTTTACATAATGAAATAAATATTTCCATGGGATTGCCATGGCTGGCTTTTTCCAAGTTTCTCTGCTTTTGGTAGGAGGCAAAGTTATCTATGCTGTTTGCAGGAATTCCTTGGTTGTTAATAGTTAAGAAAGCACAGAGGGGTTGACATTGTAGCACAGTGGGTTAAGCTGCAGCCTGCAATACCAGCATTCTCATTTGGGCACTGGTTCATGTCCCAGCTGCTCCACTTCCAATACAGCTCCCTGCTGGTGGCCTGGGAAAAGCAGTGGAAGATGGCCCAAGCGTTTGGGCCTCTGCCACCCAAGTGGAAGACCCGGAGGAAGCTCCAGGCTCATGGCTTTGGCCTGGCTCAGCCCTAGCTGTTGCAGGCATCTGGGGCGAGAACCAGCAGATGGAAGGTCTCTTTCTCTGACTCTCCTTCTAACTCTGCCTTTCAAATAAATAAATCTTTAAAAACAGCAAGCACAGAAATAGCTTATTCTATGAACACCCAGTGAATTTTATTTGGCCTAAAGATTTTAAAGATCACATTAGTTTCTAATAATATTTTTAAATTATATTTTAAAAACACAGACAATAATGAAACCCTTGATTAAATCTAATTAGCTACAGAAAATCTAGCCTGAAGTTTGCATTATGAAAACAATAGTTAAAAAAATCTGAAAATAGTTACTAACGTGTCTAAGGTTTCTAAAATGCCTCAAGTAACTGAAGAACAGTTTAAAACTATTAAGCTGAATATGTATTACTTACTGTGTAGTCTGATCTAAATACGTAATAAGTCTGTCTGCTTCTTCTTCTAGACGTTTGTTAACATGATGAAGATATTCAGGAACCTACAAAGATAGTTTTTTATATTATTGTTCTCCTCCCCATAAATCATTCAGAAAATTTCAAGTCCAAAAGATCTTGACAGCAGCCCTATCAAATGTGACATGGTTGAATCATATGTAAAATTATAGGTAGAGTTTATAATCCAGAATTCTGGTCTTTAAGAAAATAAAGGAGCACCCAAGTGAGAGAAGACCAACAGAATGTTGGGAAGATAAATGCAAATGGAAGCTTATATACTACAAAACAAAGTCTACTGAAGAGATAATGGATTTATTAATCATGATTTTTAAATACCTCTCTTTCTTGCATTAATTTTTGGCCTTCAGCTGCATAGAGTCGGTTAGTTTCTTCCAAAAATCGTTGTTCAAAAGAATCTTGATAAATCTGGAAGGGGGAGAACAAAATAATATTTATTCAATAATTATTTATTGAATGCCCTCTATGTGAACAACTCTATGAATTCGGTTTTTAGATATCAAACCAGGGACAGTAATCAAATGTGTAGTAAGTGAAGTGGTTAACTTACTTGTAAATCAGAGAGCATACTTAAAAGGCTTCGGAGTAAACTTCTATCAATTGCTTCGCCATTCCTTTCCCTCTCAATCAAGAGAAGAATGCCATCAATTGTCTTATTCTGGACTTTCTGATCACTTATAATATGTGCTCTAAATAACTCCAGTCCCATGTCCCTAAAACAAAAACCAAATATAATCTAAATTAATTTACAACACCACCACTTCTAAAGAATCTTGCTGAAGTTCTTACAACGTGTTAATTATGGTTCCAGGCTTTATAACAACAATTGAAAAAGGATAAAATCTATACATTTAATTTTGAATAACATGAGATCAAACCATATAGGAAGCTCATTTTGCCTTTAATGAGAAAGGAAATTAAATTCCTGTCTTCCTTTATAACTAAGTTTTGTTATATTATTTCCTCTGGTAGATTTCTTCCTCGGTAAAATAAAAAAAATAATTTTCACTGTATTAGTACTGAAAGGTTATTTGGTCATTTATTAACTGGCTTCCAAACTCAAAAGTATCAATGAACTCTGATCACTGTTGTAGGTCTATATTAGGCATGTGATAAGGGAAGAGTTCATTATACTACTCTTACTTTCGTGTATACATGGATTTTTCCATAATAATGTTAAAAGAAAATGAGCAAACTCCTGCCAACCAACAGCAAAATGATTCATATCCACAGATATTCCAGAGGAAACTTGAATCCTCTTGGTTAACAAAAATTCCATAAATGTTAGGAAATGTTAGCTATCTTCAATATCAGAACAAGCAAATAGCATTAAGAAAATAAAACTATAAATAAAAGGCTAGAAGCCAACTATGAATTTTCAAGAGAATATTCACAGCACCGATTTGCTCTCTATCTTTCTGTAATTAAGATTTGACCATTATTTGTGACACATCTTTCCATAACATTTTTCTGGCATCCTTACCAAATGGAGGGCAGCATTGAATTCTGAAGAACGTAAGTTCTATCCAGAAACAAAAAGATGCTCCTGATCATGATCTGTCAATGGGAAAAAAATCAAGTTTTATGTACTTTTTTCAATTTAAAATATTTGAAATAATAAACTGAAGCATTCATTCATATATAACTGAACTACTAAGATCAACCATGAAGATAAATACATCTACTTGAGAATATGCCCATACCATTTTCTTTAAACTGTTTTCTTTTTAAAAAAGATAGATTCATTCAACAGGCAGAGTGACAGCAAGAGAGGGAGTGAGTGAGGCAGTAAATGAGGGAGAGACTCTTCCAGAGACATCTTCCATCTGCTGGTTTACTCCCCAAGTGGCTGCAAAGGATGGGGTTGGGCCATGCTGAAGTCAAGAGGCTGGAAGTTCATCTGAGTGTCCCACGTGGGTGCAGTAGCCCAAGGGCACCATCTTCTGCTGCTTTCCCAGGTGTATCAGCAGGGAGATGGATGGGAAATGAAGCAGCCAGGGCTCGAACTCTGATACAAGAAGCTGGCATCATCACAGACACTCAACCCACAGTGCCACAATACCAGCACCTACCCTATGTTTTAATCCTTGTTGGGGTTTCTAAAATAGAAATACTTAAAAATGGCCATCTGGCCTTTTTGCTACTTGTGAAATAATTGAAAATAAAAATGTAATCAAGGGGAGATTCATACAATTCTTCCTTCACAATAGTAACAAAGGTGACACTGCTTTAAATTGCACATGTGGTATTTTGGGGGGGAGGGAATAGGTGACTTTAAGATTTTAATTTACAGAATATAAGGTATAAACTACTATCAGACTAGGGAGAAGCGAAAACGCTGTGACCTGAATAAACCAAAACACCATCGGGCACTTTCCCAGGTAATCAAATAATAGACAGGATACCTGGCAACAGTCACAAACAAAATGTAATCTTTTAATGAAATAAATACTTTTTTTGGTTAAGTGTGTCACAAATGAAACTGATCCTAAGGTACAAGTTATTCTGAAGTGCTAGTATACCTGTTAACTTGTAGTTTTAAAATACAAAAACACAACCAAAATTGGTTTCCAATTCAGAAAAAGAGCAGGTATTAAGGCAGTCTCTCTACTGCAATCTTTTAAAATTAACATTCCTGTATCTGAAGAAGTTTGGGTGTTTTTTAACTGCAGTGTTTGACTTCAATGTAACTTTTTCAGCTTACCATTTGTCTGCAATGGTTCTGCCAGCATCTATCAATCTTTTTTAGGAAAAGAACACTATCCAATGAATCCATGAGATATATGTTAAGGATATTTTAAAGTGCTTAGTACAAGTAATCTACACAATGTAAAAGCATAAAGCTAAACATCAATTACAGAACAAAATGCTGTTTTTCTTATACTGTAAAAAAAATTTAGATTCCACTAAAAAAGCACCTTAAAAACAAGTCTCAGGTGTAACTAAGCATTATGTTCTTACTTTACAATTTCCCTTTGAAGATTATCTTTCCTCAAATGGATATCTGTTAGGGCAAAACAGTAAAGACATACGGACATCTTATTAACACAAATACCACATGTAGATTTGGATTCTAAAACTGAGAAAGTCAAAAATTGTTTCTTTTTTCTGAGAAACACAAAGAACAAAAATATACAAAGTGCAGAAAATCTACTTCAAGCTGGGTTAAGCAGTGAAGGATAGGGAGGAAGAAGATAATATTTTTTGTTGTTTTTAAAAGGATATTCTCTGAACTGATGAATTTGTGCTTTGATGTGATCTTCACAAATCTGTCTCAGCTGTTTGTACAAGTTTGCAGAAATCTTGTAAGAACAGAGATTTTCTACAGCCTGCAATATTAAACAGACATTTTCTAAAGGAAAGAACAGTGAACAGGACTCAATTATTTACATCAAGTTCCTATTGCTTTGATATTTCTATCACATCTGCTTGTTAAAAGGGGTTATTCACCCATTTAGGACACAGGGTAAAAGCAACAAAATATATCCATGTGGGTAGGCAACTTCTTCGTAACCAATAATACATTACAGCTGTATAGGTTAAAGATGGATGGAATCAAGCCAAGTTCTCCCCTGTGAACATTCAATTACAGCAATTGTTACCTATGAAAGTTATCTTGTTATTAAAAATGTTATGTTAATTATTTTCACAATTAACTTGAATCTCCAATTTTTTTTTTTTTTTTTTGTGACAGGCAGAGTGGACAGTGAGAGAGAGAGAGACAGAGAGAAGGTCTTCCTTTTTTGCGTTGGTTCACCCTCAATGGCGCCGCGGCTGGCGCGCTGCGGCCGGCGCACCGCGCTGATCCGATGGCAGGAGCCAGGAGCCAGGTGCTTTTCCTGGTCTCCCATGGGGTGCAGGGCCCAAGCACCTGGGCCATCCTCCACTGCACTCCCTGGCCACAGCAGAGGGCTGGCCTGGAAGAGGGGCAACTGGGACAGAATCCGGCGCCCCGACCGGGACTAGAACCCGGTGTGCCGGCGCCGCTAGGCGGAGGATTAGCCTAGTGAGCCGCGGCGCCGGCTTCCAATTTTATTTTTAAAATAATGCCACCAATTGTTATAATTTACTATAATTGTAATTTTTAAGATTTATTTTATTTATTTGAAAGACAGAGTTAGAGAGAGAGGTCTTCTATCCGCTGGTTCACTCCCCAGATGGCCACCAACGACCAGAGCTGCGCCGATCCGAAAACAGGAGCCAGGAGCTTCTTCCGGGTCTCCAACATGGGTACAGGGGCCCAAGGATTTGGGCCATCTTCTAGTGCTTTCCCAAGCCATAGCAGAGAGCTGGATGGGAAGTGGAGCTGCCGGGTCTCGAACTGGTGCCCATATGGGGTGCCGGCACTGCAGGCCAGGGCTTTAACCCGCTGCGCCACAGCACCAGCCCCTATAATTGTATTAAAGATTATACTTTCTTGGGTTTTCCTGAATAGAACAAAGCAGACATTATTGCTAGCAGTATTTGAGTATGAAACAATGAAATACCAAGGAATTTTCTCCAACTTTTCAGTCTAAGGACAGATAAATAAATACAGACGGTTTAAAATGTGTACAACTAACTAAACATTAATTATGAAAGAAATGACTGTATTTTTCACTTCTTTTGAATTGGTCTTCTTTTATACTCAGATCACAAAAGGACAAACTTCAGATTTCACTGAGTTTTCTGTTATGTGTTATCAAAAGATTTTCAAATTTAAAACAACAGGCTTGGTAAAACTCTCTGGGTGAACTCTGATATAATCTATATTTCCAACTAGTAATAACTTAAGTATAATACTAGGATTCCTTTCTCACCATAATAGAAGGCACAAATTCCATTAAAATGGACTCTAGGGGGGTATCCAAGTTCTGTTGGTTAGAGTGGAATTTTGTAAATATGTAGTTGGAAGTTGAATTCCAGTACACAGGTCCAATAAATAAATTAGTCATGAAAAGAAAGCTCGAAAGAAATGGCTCACACCATTGGAGGGAAATAGCCACACCTCATCAGGAAACAGTAAACCAATTAGATTCAGCAGCTGACTGTAGGCTGAGTCTCCTCCAGTCATTTTCCACAGGACTTGGATCTGGGCCACAAATGCCTAAGGGTGTATTTATTTTATGTGCCTCTATGTTCACACTGGTCTTCTATGAAATGCCCTCCTTCCTCTCACTGTATCTAGGTGTTTCTTCTGAATGATCTATTTTTCTCAGCATTTTTCACTTCCTTGCTTAGACTGTTATGTGACTTAGTGCATACTTCATCTTCTCCACATTTCCTATTTCCAGTACTTCTTAAAGTCCTATTTATCCCATTTCCTTCTGCTGTGTTCCCCTTTCAACCATGAAACAGTTCTCAAAATATTTATTTATCTTGTCACACAAGATACCATATTCTCTTACTATTCAACTAGGTCCCACATCTTCCAATAAGTTATTCTTAACTACTTCAGCAATCAGTGACTCACAAGGTATGCACAGCAATCATTATCACACATTGGTTTGTAACTAAGTCAATACTATTTATCTTTTTACATGTATATCCTGTCTCCCTGACTTCTCTTATGATAGAAAGAGATCTGGCTATCATATATCTGTAAGTTCTCTAGTAGTTTTTGGGCTCTCAACCAGGAGAACATATTAAATATTCAAAAAGTGAATGTATCTACCACAATCAGCAATGTGGGCTTACAGTGTGACAAAACTGGCCAGAAAACAGGTAATTACAATAGTGTGTGCTAAGTGCTAAGATGGGGATAAGCAGACAGATAAAGCCCCTAATCAGCCCTTAGGGAAGGACAAGTCAGGAAAACCTTTCTGGGCAAAGGTAAAGAGGTGATCTCAAAGATCCACAGGGAAATGGATAAAGAGCTAAGGGTAATCATGAGAAACAGAGGAGTAAGCTGGGCTTTATTTGCATACAGCTTCACCTGTATTTAGTTGGAGGATGATTTATGAAGCTCAAGACAAGAAAGGCAGGGACATCTAAGGTGAGTTTTGAAGGTCAGTTTGGAAGGGAGCACGCTTCTTCAACTGAGCCTCAAATGCTTTTTTAACATGTGGACCAGAGCTAATAATTTTCCTTCCTCAGCAGCCTTTCTTCAAACTCTCGTGTAGTACTGTAAAGAAATTCCCTAACAGGTATAAAAAAAGCAAAGCATAGAAGTGTTTGGTGTATGGTCTGCGATCAATTATGTTAAAAGGGGGAAATGAATGAAAACATACTGCATTGTTTTTACATACATAAAATATCTCTGGAAAGCAATCGAAAAAAATAATAATATCTGATAAAAGGGGAACTAGCTGGGGAGTTAGAAGATGAGATGGAAGTAGTTTTTATTACATGTTCAGTAATAAACAAATACACACACAGTACATTTTGGGCTTTGAAACAAATACATTAAGTATTTTAAAAACTTAAATACTTGCCTCCCCTAATAAAACTCTATCTTCCCCACCACACTTCTTTGCATGGCATTCAAGGCTCAGTCTTATAATTTTAGTCTTACATCTAATTATAATCTTCCACGTAACGTACAGCACTCTGCATCTCTCACTTTTGAGCAAGGATTGTTTGGAGTAGTCATGTGTACTTAAAATAGTGACTTCCAAAACTTTTTCACCCAAGCTACAGTAAAGAATACATTTTACGTCACAATCCATTGTACACAAAATACATATAACTGGAATAGTATCTTCATGAACTAAAAAGCAGTACCATGTGTGATGTACTCTGATAGTTTCTATTTTAGTTTTTTAAAAGTATTGGTCACAAATAACCATTAGGAAACCACTAATGTATTTTCTGTATTATTTTCCTATAATCATTTACTTTTATTTAAGTCATTTAAATTCCAGCAAAAAGCACACTGCAAAAATTACCATGCTGACCAAGTGCCTAGGTCATGCTGAGTGACAAAAGCCAGTCCCAAAGGGACAAATATCATATGTTTTCCATGATGGGTGACAACTAACCAAGCACCAAAAAGGAAACCTGTTGAAGTGAAATGGACACTATGAGAAACAGTGTCTTGATCAGTCCTTGTCCTGACTGTCGAGGAACAACTTAATACTTTATCCCTGTTAGTATTTTTTTTTTTTGTTCTGCTTAATACTATTGGTTGAACTCTTTAACTAACACACAATTATTCTTAGGTGTTTAAATTTAACTGAAAAGTGATCCCTGTTAAATATAAGAGTGGGAATAAGAGAGAGAGGAGATGTACAGTTTGGCACATGCTCAATCGGACTTGCCCCAAATGGTAGTTAGAAATGTGCCAGGGGATTCCAATTCAATCTCATCAAGGTGGCATGTACCAATGCCATCTCACTAGTCAAAGTGATCAGTTTCAGTTCATAATTGATCATAATGATAGGATTAAGAGTCAAAGGGATCACATAAACAAGACTAGTGTCTGCTAATACTAACTGATAGAATAAAAAAAAGGGAGAGAACGATCCAACATGGGAAGCGGGATACACAGCAGACTCATAGAATGGCAGATGTCCTAAACAGCACTCTGGCCTCAGAATCGCACTTAAGGCATTCGGATCCGCTAAAAAGCCCATAAGAGTATGTCAGGCATGGAAAGCCAAGACACTCAAGCTGGCGAACTCAAAAGGCTTCCATTAGCCTTGGCAACTCATGACAAGAGCCTAGGGTGATTACTGACGCCATAAACAAGAGTATCAATTGTTAAATCAACAACAGGAGTCACTGTGCACTTACTCCCCATGTAGGATCTCTGTCCTTAATGTGTTGTACTATGTGAATTAATGGCATAACTAGTACTCAAACAGTACTTTACACTTTGTGTTTCTGTGTGGGTGCAAACTGTTGAAATCTTAGTAAATACTAAGTAGATCTTCTGTATATAAAGATAATTGAAAATGTATCTTGATGTGAATGGGATAGGAGAGGGAGTGGGCGATGGGATGGTTGTGGGTGGGAGGGAAGTTATGTGGGGGGGAAGCCACTGTAATCCAAAAGCTGTACTTTGGAAATTTATATTTATTAAATAAAAGTTTAAAAAAAAGAAATGTATTGGTCACAAATAACCAATTGTATGAAACTACTAGAACATAAGCACCTTAGGAGCTAGGACTAAGTGTATCTACCCAAGGTGCCTGTCTCGCTCTGCGCATAGCAAACAACTGATTCAACAAAGAGTAAGTATTTGTTAAGTATTCTGCATCTTGTTAGGTACTGGGATAGAAAAACTAATGGGAAGTGTTAAATCACCACTTAGGAGTGTGAGATAAGCTCTATTTTATTCTAGACCTTTGAACTGTCCTTTTAGAAATATACTATATTACATTTCACTAAATAAACACTTTGGAAATCT